CACACACACACACACACTCACACTCACATACACACACATACTCACACACACACACACACTCACATACACACACACACACTCACATACACACTCATACACACATACACACACAAACACACACAAATTCACATACACACACACACACACTCATATACACATACATACACTCTCACACACACACACTCACATTCACACTCATACACACATACACACACAAACACACACACACACTCACATACACACTCTTATACACATACACACACACACACACACACTCACATACACACACACTCTTACATGCACACACACACACACACATTCTCACATACACACTCATATACACACACACACTCACATACACACACACTCACATACACATACATACACACACACACTCACACACATTCACACACACGCACAAACACACACACACACACACACTCATATACACATACATACACACACACACACACTCAAACACTCACACACATACTCTTATACACATACACACACACTCATTCACACACACACACTCACATGCTCACACACTTACATATGTGTGCATCCATGCACTCACACACACTCACTCTCATGCTCACACTGAAATATACATGACCCACCCACAGTCGCAGTCTCACACACACTCACAAACACAGACACATGGTCAGGTACACTCTCTCACATATTTGCTCACACTCATACATACACATGCACACACCCAATAAATAAATACTTACAAACGCACACTCACACTCATGAACTCTCTCTCATACACACTTACACAGCCAGGCACTTTCTCACACACATGCTCAAATACATGCTCACAATCGCGCCATCTCACACATGCACTTACACTCACATTTATATGTATATACATACACAGATCCATTCACTTTCACACATTTACTCATATGTACATACCGTCTCTGCATCTCAGACACACACACGCAGTCACACTCACACACACACGCACTCACACACACACACACACTCATATATGTGCACATCTACACATACATACATAGACAAACAGTCTCTCACAAAAGAAATCCAACACACACAATTTCTCTCAAACACACTGTCTCACTCAGACACAGTATTAACCTACTTATTCTGTGCGTTTCCAAACTTCCCAAATGGATCACCAGCTCCCCCACCATCGCCAGTGAAAATATAAAGATATCCATCATTTCCAAACAGTATCTGTCCTCCGTTATGATTTGAAGCAGGTTCCACCACCTCCAGAATCACCCTGTTGAGGGAAAGATTCCATTAAAATCCGCTGGGTTCAAACAGGAAATTAGCATTGAATCCAGGAAACACGCTGGAGCAACTGCAGATGAAGGGAATCCCACAATGGAATACATTCTCACACGCAAGGACACATGATGGAGAAAACGGAGTCAATGTCATGGCTGGGGTGTGGAGGGTTGGGGGACAAATATGAGCCCCTTTCAGTTCACTACCTGGAAAGCCTATAGGTGGGACTCATGACCGAGAGGACCCAAACCCAGTGAGAGTCAGTGTGTGTGGGAATCTGTACCCCAGTGAGAGTCAGTGTGTGTGTGAGACCCTGTACCCCAGTGAGAGTCAGTGTGTGTGTGGGACCCCGTACCCCAGTGAGAGTCAGTGTGTGTGTTGGGACCCTGTACCACAGTGACAGTCAGTGAGTGTGTGTAGGACCCTGTACCCCAGTGAGAGTCAGTGTGTGTGTGTGACCCCATACCCCAGTGAGAGTCAGTGTGTATGTGGGGCCCCATTCCCCAGTGAGAGTCAGTGTGTGTGTGGGACCCTGTACCCCAGTGAGA